GTTAAAATGATCGAAAGACAGCCACGTTGATGGTTCATATGGGAACAATTCTAGGGAATGCTTTATATACTCTCTTCCAAAGCTACATTGTTGTGTAGGTGTTGATCGAAAGAGTGCCGCCTATTCTTTTCGTCGTCCACTGCGTTCAACAAAGCCTAATTACAAAGGGTCCAGCACCTTCGTCGTGTCATGTACACAACCAAATCTGAGGGCTGTCTGAGGTCTGCTTACTCAATTTAGCTGATACGATTCCAGCTCGAAGATGAGAATCATTTGGTCCCAGGATTTTAGTTTTTCTTGGTGTAAAGTTCGATTCTAACAGATGTTGTGCACAATCATCGCATGATTGTTTACAATTTTCCCGCGTATTTATCTTACAAATTGTCGAGCCATGTTTTTATTGTGCTTTCGAGTTTGTGTATCCCAAGTGAGGTTCGCAACAGCTTCCTTTATGACCAAGGCTGTAAAAACTAATTGCGTTCTTTCATTCCCGACGCGTTCTTCAATTAGAGACGAAAGGCTAAACGCTTTAGCCGGAAGTACTCATATCTTTACGTCTATGTTTCACTCTAAGGATTGATTATAAGAAGCTGCTGGAATTATATTGTGTTTAACCATACAGCATCTAGGGTACGATATTGTTCAAGCTCTACAGCCAAGCCTCACTCATTCGTCGCCAGAGAGAAATTTATGCTTCTTTTTGGGAACCACGCTCAAAAAACATCAGAAGGAAAATGCACAATGTGAAGAAATTCGTACTTGAAGCTTGTTCTGAGCTTCTAATTCGCTTTGCACATTTATGTGTGTAGGTCAGAAACGATCTTACTTGGTTCTGCTGCCCCAATTCAATGTTCCGATTGCCTGAGTTTGATTGTTTTGCTGTGCACATCTTCAGCACCCAGAAAAAAACGTTGAGAGATGGGTTCCACTATTCCTGATAAATTTGTCCCTATTCCGAATTTCTGGAATGATATCCACGAAAGTCCCTGCGAAATGGGCTTTACGTGCGAATAAAATGGACTTAGTCCATGCGGTGCGATAAGATATTGCATTCGCGAATCCATTCATTCCATACAAAAATCTTCAGCAGACCTTTCTCCAACTTGTCTCAACCTGTTTATTCACTCTTGCAAACTCATTTCTACCAAGTGGTTGGTATCTAACTAGGGCTGACCTAACATTGCGATGATAGTCACATGATTCTATGCTTTCACACTTCATTATACATCAAAAAATGCCATTTGTTATCAATCTATGCATCGAAAACATCCAAGAATAGAATTCACATAATATCCGGGCCTTTGCTTTTCAAGACTTCTATGGATTTGCTTTAAGACAAATTCGTATGTAGAGCTTTCTGGGGAAAGCAAACTTTGGCTAGACTTGCACTGCAATCTGTGAAGCAAAATGCTTGTCTCGTAGGAAACCTTGCCCTATAACCCAAAAGGTTCTTCAAATCGGAAAACTACGGGTCGCAAAGGATGAATTCGCAAATGTTCTACTTTAGCTCTTCTTTGTCTTTCAGTATTAATGTTTATATCTCTAAGTAGTTGAATGTATGGACTATTGACGGTAAGAAATTTTTCACAGAATTTTTTTTGCTAGCTAGCGGCACTTCAGTAATTCTTGCGACAAAATCGAAATTCGTTCATAAAGGCCGTCATTGAGGTTCGGTTTTGCGAGATTAGTCAAAAGATAGCTTCTGAGTAATTATGTTGAAACGCAAATCTTTTTTATCTTTGAATACAAATGAATACAATAGAATAAATTTAGTTTTGGTTGATGATTTAAAAAGTTAACAAACTTCACTTGATTTACATAGGAATTCTCGCATCGACATGACATTTGGAAACATTTGAGTTTGTTGGCGAATACTTTGGTGATTTACCTTTTTTAATTACTTTTATAGCATTTGGAAAGAAACACTCATTTCAGACTTCATAAAAGACATAAAACTTTTTCCACTTACTTGTTACCTTAAAATAGACTAAGGAACACACTCTCAAAATACCGCGAACGAATAAAATGGGGTTTGAAAGTCCATTTTCCTCCATTATGGACTTTCGTGGATATCATTCCTGCTTTATCCCATTCCGAGCTTGTTCAGGATTTATCATTTTGGAAATGTTATGGCGTGTCAAGAAGTTTGATCATTTCCACTCTTCATTCCACTGAGACAGTGGGTTTTATTAATTGCCCTTGATTTTCAGTAAATAATTGTGTACATATCTATAAGTGAAATTTAAGACTTTTACAAAAATCTAATAGACAGAGTTTTGAGAGAACAGGAACCTCCTACTTGTAACTCCCAAAATTGTACTGCAAAAAATGTACCAAACAATTGAGTTACGTTGCTGTAGTTACCAATTTTAGTCGCTAAATGGAAGTTTCAAGTTTTTTTTTGATATTCTATATATATACCAAAGTAGAGGCCGTCCAATTTTACCCAATTTTTCGGATGAGCATGGTAACACGCTTTTTGAGGATAAAGAAAAAGCTGAAGCATTGGGACATTATTTTGCCAATTTTTTTGAAACAGAAAAGTCAGATGATGACCCTACTCTTATCCAAATGGTTTCTCATACTTCTGCTACTTGCTCTGACTTGTTTGTTGATCCAGCAAAAGTTTATGAGGTCTTGAAAAAATTAAAAGCAAAAACTAGCGTTTCTTACGACGGTATCCCCCAAATTGTGTATCGTAAGTGCGCAAATGCCTTGTGTTTACCTCTTTCACTCATCTTCAGTGCTTCTCTAATACAAGGAAAAGTACCTAGACTATGGAAAGAGGCGTTAGTCACCTCTATACCCAAATGTGACCATCCCAATACACTCTCCAAATTTCGCCCCATTAGTATCACAGCACCATCCGGAAAAATCCTAGAAAAACTCATTAAAGACAAACTTATTGACTGGTTTGAAAGGAATAAAATTATTCCTGAGGTACAGTATGGTTTCTTGCGTGGCGGATCCACCACTGCTTTGCTTTGTGATTCTGTTTATGACTGGGTCACAGCTCTTAACAGTGGCAAATCTGTCGATATTATTTTCTTTGATTTATCTAAAGCTTTTGACACAGTCGATCACAGTAAGCTTATTCTAAAACTCGAAAAGTACGGCATTCGAGGTCAACTTTTATCTTGGCTAGCCTCGTATTTGAGTGACCGAGGTATGACCGTCCGCGTTGGAAACTCATATTCTCAGCGACACCACTGTAAGAGCGGAGTGTCCAAGGAGGTATACTGTCACCGCTTCTTTTTCTCATTTATACTGCAGAATTGCCCAGATTCCTAACGACACATCCGGAGATCAAAATCCAGATGTTTGCCGACGATATCAAAGTCTATTTTTGCTATGAAAACAACAAACAAGATGAGGCATTTAGAGCTCTATCGTCGTCGATTCAAAATATGATTTCTTGGTGTAATAATTGGAATCTCTCTGTAAATGCATCTAAAACCAAAATGATGCACCTTGGAAGCTCTCGGTGTCCAGACTATGTTTATAATGGCATCCCACTTGAACACTGTTCCGTCACCAAAGATCTTGGTGTTCTAGTGGATGACCAGCTCAAATTTTCTCAACATTATGGTGCAGTTGTTAAAAAAGCCTTGTCCTGCCTTTTCCTGATCTTACGTAATATTCATTGCAATGATCCGTCGTTATTAGTCAAACTCTATAAAACCTATGTACTGCCACATTTAGAATATGCCTCACCAGTATGGAATCCGTTTTTGAAAAAAGACATTGAATCCCTCGAAAAAGTACAGAAAAGTTTTGCCCGAATTGTTTTTTACAGGTGCTTTCCAAACCCAGGTTATCCTCAAGCTTTACCACCATATAGTTCAAGATTAAACGCTCTAAATTTACACAGCTTGAAATATAGACGAGTTTTCAATGATCTGGTTCTTTGCTTTCGTTTGATTCGCTTAGAAACTAGGTTAAGACCGAGCAAGTACTGGATTTTTCGGCCACATGGAACACGTACAGGTGGGTTTAGCATGTGCTACCGGAAGCTGAAACACAGGATTTTTTCTATTGCGTTCAATTCTTTTATGTGCCGAACATCAAGATGGCTCAACCTTTTGCCTAATGAGATTACAGCTAGCAAAAGCTCACTGATTTTTCGCAAAAGACTGGCCCAAATTGATGTTCTGAGAACTTTGGGTATTCCAGATTTCTAGAACCATTCAGCCGTTACCCAGCGTCAGCATGGAACTACCAGCCACATTTAAATTTCTATCTATGTCGTTCTCATTTGAATTATAATTTTCCGCAGTATTATCTTGTTGACCAGTTCCTTATTCCTTGTGCTGATTATTTTGTGTCGGAAGAGTTTCATTCAATCTCAACTTGGTCTTTATGCTCTTTTCCGCTTCTCCTCAACGGGAATAGTTGTTCGAGGAATTCGCGGTCTGGTGAGCCTTTGGCCTTGAGGTCCTCCTGGCTCGTTCGCCCAGGGTCCCTGGAGCGGATTGTTCGCTTCGGGTTAAGTTGATTATTCAAGCCCTGGCATGCTGTTCTTGCTATAGGCGTTCGGGCTGGGATCGGGATTTCGGTCAAGGATCTCACCTCCCATACTAGGAGAACGACCTGACCACCCAGAGGAGAAAGCCGATTCATCTACCTACTGAGCAGATTATGCCTATACCAAGTCCTGTATCTATACTGCTTTACTACCCCTTCTATTTCTGTGTTTGGTTCCTGTTTTCTTTTTTGATGGCGCACCTTCGGGTGTATCATATAAATAAATAAATAAATAAAAAAAATATTCTCACATTTTTTTGAATTTGAATGTTCAACATTTACAAACTACATAAACCGTATTACTATAACAAAGAACTTAAATCCAATTAGAGTTGTTTTTTGAATTTGTATATTTATTCATTTACAATTACAACTTACATAAACAGTGTTACTATAACAAAGCGTCCAGTTAGAGTTAAGTTGAGCCTGTGTAAATGTGAGACAAAGTGATGCAAACCTTGGTCCCAATTCTTAGAATGAACAAATTCTTGGTAGACCTCAAAGGCAAGTTGCTAAGTAAAGTCTCTGATAACTGCAATATTTAACTATGAAAGTATCATCCATTTCAAACGTATCAATCCAACAAATTATTCTCTAATTTAGATGGAAGGAAAAATTGATACCGCGCATTTCCATTTTATTTCGGACAGTCTATGCCTCTGAATATTTGGAGTATAAGGTGTTAAAAACAACCTAACAGAAAATCTTTATTCCAACACCAGTGATTTTGATCTTTCTTGAGAAATTCCAGTGGCTTGGTGGATAACACTGCTTGTAATTGTGTTCATCTTAGTTGGCCTATCATTTCTGTCAAATGTTTATGATTATGTCGGGTGAGTCAATTACACTTTGGACGATAAAAAAAGACAATCACTCTCTATACATCGTACCCCAAATGTGAGTTTGGTTACGGTATTCAGGTTACGGTATCGACGAGTACGTGCAAAATCGCAGCTCGCTCAATTCGACGAGATGATGACACGAATTGGGCAGGGTACTGTAACTGGCACACCTCTTGCTCCAAATGAACAAGTTTTGCGTGCTGTTTGTAAATGGTAAGTAGGAAAAAAATATAAGTTCTTTTTCTTTAATGGCTTTAAATCTCAAAGACTGTTTTATAGTGTTAGACCCAAATTTTTCTCTATAATCTTGGTTGATTTTTGCGCCTAATCCAATTTTCTGTTTTTACATGGTTTACTCAAAGTGAATTATGTTCTTCGTATAAATCAGCCAAAAGCGTCTCATCTGTGCTCTTCTTCTGCGAGATTTTGACAAATGTGATTTTTTTGCAAAACTTGCACGTAGTGGCCTCTACTGAATCAGTGAAACGCAACCAAATTTTGAGAATAAAAAACTGTGCAAACTACTGGAGAAACCTAGCCAGGGCTAAAAATGCTCAGACAGCTGACCGGAACTTCCGCAGAACGTTTGGGAAAGTCCTGCCGGGTTACTCGCGAAAGTTCCGTAAACGTGCTGCGGAAGTTCCAAAGAATGCGACCACAACAGCAAAAGAGAAGACCTAAGCGAGATTTGAACCTCGTTTTATCGACTGAGACCCACCTACTATCTTCTGCACTAAGGCTGAGATGTTCAATAGTACACTCTAGATGTTGGCGGGGCAACATCATCATGACGCAACACATTCAAAACCCTGCAGAAGTACCGGCATTTCAAAGTGCTGCGGAACCGCTGGCATTTTTCGGAAGTTCTGCGGCGCTCTGTAAAAGGCCCTGCGGAAGTACCTGTTTTCAACCAGCTTAACGTGAAAACCCTGCCTAGGTTCCTGTTTTTCCTGCGGAATTCTCATTTTCAACGTTTCTTCCTTTGCAATAAAAAACAAAATCCTGCGGAACCGCTGCAAAATTTGGTTGTTCTGCGGAAGTTCCGGTGAATTGTCTGAGAAAACCGACAGGTGAAAAAAATAGCTTGTTAATGTTAATGTTGATTAGTGGTTAGGGAGAGAAGTGAAATTTCTGATATTGCTAACATTGAACGAGATAGTAGACAATGGTACAGCTTTTTGCGATTGAAGTTCCTCTTTTTCACAGACACTAATATCTAAATACTCTGTAATTAATGTCAGCTACATCCTGACGAAAAGACGAGCATAAAAAAAAAGACATCAAGACGATTAAAGTTCCTCTTTTTCACAAACGCTGATACCTAAATACCTTTTAATTTATGTCAGCTGAATCCCAAACTAGGATGATTCGCGTCCCCATAAACTTGCTGTTCGGGATTGTGGACAGGCTTTGATGCGAAAAATTCAAGTCTGAAAACCTTGCAAAAAGATCATGTACAGGTTTTGTACATGGCCGAATATCTGACTGCACCTATCAGAATTGTACATTTTATTAAGAACTTAGAGCACTTCTTATAATCTTCATCCTTACTGTCTTCCTGGACAAGCACTAGAAGCTGTGAAATCGATCTGAAAAGATTGTAAATGCTAGGGGAACTAGGGCCCATGCTTTAGCTTTAAATTCTCGAGAATCCTGAGATTGCATACAGTGGATTGACAAACCAAAGATTTCCTCCTTCTTTGCATGGTTTCTGCACATTTTCTTTTATTTCAGTGAAGTCGCTGCCAGACTCTGTCGTGATTTCTATCGTGTATCGTCCGTATCACCTATCGCATTTGAATGTGATGTTACTACTGCGTCGTACAATCGCATGCCACCTACTCCAAGCATTTCTGTTTCGACTTATGAAATCAGCTCTGAAGCAACGCATGTTATCTGATGGTCATTTTGATGCTGTGTCGTTCTTGAGGTCTTTTTCTAATGTGTACAAAATGTACAAAATGTCTTTGAATGAAGAATTTTGAGTTCTGGAATGTCGCAATCGAATTTTGGCTCACGATGTTCTAAAGAACTTTAGGGGCAAATTTTATATCGTAAAAAATGAAACAAAAACCGAACGTTACAACCAAATGCGTAGATAAAAAATCAAAATTAACATCTTTTCATCCCAAGTATAAATAAACCAAACCGATGTAACTATGTCTTCTATCATTCTTCTTTTCGAGAAGCCGCCCAATAGGATTTATTTTGCAAAAATATCGTATACGAAGTTGTTTGAAGGGTTAGCAACAAAATCTGAGAGAATAGAAGCCAACTTGGGAACGAACAAAACCTACACACATATTAGTTCTAGTGCAATAAAATCTAGACAAGCAAAGTAGAAAATTTTTCATGAGTATGGCTTTTTTCTCCCTTCTGAAAAATTCCGATCCGAAAAACAATCTAATATTCTACCAAAACGAAGTCAAAATAAATTTTAGCAGTGTAGGTAAACTTCTCATGTTTATTATCTAATTTTTTCAGCATTAAAGAAAGTTGCTAAAGTTTTGCTTTTACCTCAAATCAATTTACCAGAGTATCAAGCTAAATAGATAAATACTTTACCTGTTGTGCTATAATAAATACCTTATTCAATTACATGATGGTCACTCAACCTTTCAAGCCTCGTTTAACCGGGGCGTTTAGCAGCGGAAAACTTGATTATCGAATATTCCAGCTGCAGTCAGGCATAACAGTGTTTTTGCCACCTATATGCAGCTTAAGCTCTTACTTCTCACTTCGATTTGCATGGAAAACCGACAAAAAGTCGTTTTCTATTTCCGGTCATTTGAAGCGATGCATTAGCAGTTTCTTTGGTCATTTGACGTCAATTTTTCTTGTCTGTGTAATACATCAGTATTTTTCTAGAAATTATGAGTCCATATGGATTAGTCGGACCTCCTTTCATGGCGCTGCGCATAGTTTATGAAAGCTCAAGTGTTTACTACGTTTTTTTAGGGGCTTAAAAACCAAATCACGCAAGAGCATATGCTTTGATTATTACTACTCAGCGCCAGAAACAACAACGACTTCTTTGTATAGATAGTTCTAGTCTCTTTAAATCAAATAGAAATAAATGTCGCTTCATTGCCTTTTTCATCTTTTCTCAGTTAAAATTAATGTTTTCCAGGAACAAGAGCATGCACAAGTGTGAAATTTTGTGGTCAGAGTTTCGAAGACTTGTAGAATACAAGTGCTCAAATGCAGGAACCTAGAACTTGCTAGGGGAGGAGTTTGCCATTTTTTGTTTTTTGTTCTTTTTTTTCCTGTTTTTCAAAGAAAAAAAATCATGAAGTGTATATATGTATGAAAAGTATCTGCTATATGCTGGAGCAAATAAGATTTTTTGGTGCTTTCGGGGCAAAGATCCAATTCGGCTCACGAATTGTTCATAGATTTAGGCTTCAACATTTGAATCACGAATTCAGTATTTGATAACTATCTTCTAGAGAGCTTGTGGTCCATCGAATGGTAATCATCATAAGTTATTTTGGTTCGTCTTGTTGATTTTCCACAAAAAAACGATGTCCTTTTTCTTCCATTTAAGGAGAAATTAAATCATTTTCATCTAAAAACATTTTGGATTGATTATGTCTTGTAATTCTATCTTGCTCTTCTAGAATTGCAAATAGTAGCTGGAAATTTTCATATCATTTTTCAAATATCGTGTAAACAGGCATTTTAAAAGTTTTTCCGTAAATGTCAAGCAGTTATTGGATGTGTGTCTGCTCAAAATTTGACTTATATGAGAGTCTCAAACAAACCTACATGTATACCTCAAATATGTCCAAAACGAGACGAAAAATGAAATAGCAAGTATGATTTATAGGTGATGTACACGATAAAGAATTTTTATCTATACTGAGAAAAAATTAGATTAAGAACGTCTTAGCTGATTATTGAAAATCCAGTTCCGGATCCACCTACTAAATAGTACACTCTCCTTCAAACTGGGTATTTTACCTTCATTATTCTGTAGTTTTTATGTACATCTATTTATCAACTAATTGCTAGCAATCACAGGTAGTTTCTTGAGAACACAATTATGGATGTCAGGAAACACAAGATTTGCTTTTTTTGTTTCCATTATTTTGCTTCTATAGTCATCCATCCAAAGGCACAACCATTGCTCAGTAGTACGATTGGCGTGCGTCTAGCTACTCAAGTTATTCCGCAATTTATTTCGAGACCCCAAACTTCTTTGTTCTAACGAGATCAAAGCTTTAGTCTATGCTAATGTTGGATATTTGCCAAACTTATTCAATTTCAGACCCTTTTTGAATTTTACGATATTACGTATCCCTCTATATAAAGGTTTTACTAAAGACAAAAAACCACCTCTGACTTTTTCCCCTTTCTTGTTATGCAAACGAAACCCACACCTGCCTCGGTTGACCACAGGTGAATGCATTTTTGAGCATATTCGCCGCGAAAATTCTTCCAAAATTCTGGTGAATGGGTGCCCGTAAACAACAAAACAAGTGTGATTGTTTACACGCATTGGATTATTTTACGTAATCCAACTATAGGCTTGAACATAATTCGGTATCAGTAGCATGATGAGCTTTCACTTTTATGGATGACTCCGAAAACTCTACAAATTTAAACCAAATAAGACCAAATGGAGAATTCAAAAATCATTTTTATTTCTAGCAACTTTTGGAATTTCAATGGAAACAAGGCACTACATTGAGTTGATAGGAATGAAGGTGTGCTAGTGAATACTCAAGTTGCTTCATGCAAAAATGGTCAACACGATGCAGTTGTACATAATTATTTGTAATTTTATGCTCCGTTCTCAGGCTCTGAAAAAATGTTTCAAGCTTCCGAGCAAAGGCTTCTTTTTGCATAAGTGGGGTTTCTCTAGTAGATCACTAATTTGATCAAAGAATACTTGCACATATAGACCTTGAGAAGATGCTTTTTATACTTGAACAAAAGTTATTTTGCCTGAAGCTGATAGCTCCAAGAACCACTTGAAAACCATATAATTTTTTTTATCGTTACTCTCTTTCACTCAATGCTCTTTTTGTTATGATAATAGCGTTCTGCGTTTTGAGAGCTAACAAATAAATAAATAAATTGTATGCAAACGGAGTTTTAGTTTTCTGACAAGCTACCATGCAACTGAAACACACCACTTGCTTAGCTGCCCTTTCATGTTCCCATTTCTATCATCATATATACAACTTTTACTGAATTATCCCTCCTAAAGTTTCCTAACCTTAGTAACATCTGGAAGTTTATGAACTTTACACGAAGCTTGTTTAGTGCTACTCAATGAAAAGTTCGTCATGACATAAACCATTCCTAGGATGATTTTAAGTGAGATGTTACGGAATTTCTCCTCTCTGTACCATCTTCCTTTTTTTCAAACTATCTCGGTGGCTAGGATTTGTTCTGCTATAGCAATATGAGACCAACTCACATTCATTACTATATTTGTCATGTCTTGCACCGAATTTCTCACTCTGAATACATTCATAAATTTGATGTTGGGATATTGATTATTGGGACTTTTATTTCGCCATTACCGAACTTTATATTTAGAATCAACAACTCTTATTGTTCGAGACCATTTGTTCAAGATGCTGTCCCACATAGTATAGCGAAATACTAGACGAAACAGAAGTAAAATCTTCACCTATAAGCCCATTCTCTGAAAAAGCTTACAACGAAGAATGCGAATAGAATCAATTTGTCGGCAAAGAGATAGATAAGAGCTCATCCATATAAAGTTGGTGAAATTTGCACATACGCAATTACTCTGCAAAAATGGTCTTTACAGTATTCGGTTTGTGCAATGAGGCTTTATAGAACTTGAAATTTCATTTGGATTGCAAAAAGCGTGCAGACGCAGTTCTCGTTCTCTACAAAAAGTTTAATAACATCAACAAACTGCAAAACTCGGCCGCACGATCTCGTAAATCCTTCTCATTTCCACACTTTCGTGTTTCGGCTCTTATATTACAACGGGTGCAGTCGTTGAACGCCAGCTTGAGCAAATGTTTCACGGGGCATGCTACAGTGGTCCGCAGTTCTTTTCGGTTTTTTTTGAATTTTAATAACGTTGTAAATTTTAACCAAATAAGAGTAAATGGAAAACTCGATAATCATTATTATTCTTAGATACTCTTGAACCTTTTTGTTTTAGAATTTAGGGATTATAACGAGTATGTATAAAGTGTATGTGTCTTTGTCCCTCATTAATCTTTGTAGAATTCCTGATTTTCTCTGGTTTTCCCAAATTATATTAGTCTAAAACTCAAAACTATCTCTGATTGTAATGTTTTTGAAGCTTAGGTTTCACTTCCTCGAGCGGAGCAAGCAAAAAATCATTTTTCTGAAATTTTGGGATCTCCATCGGCTGTTTGGTTCTTTTAACCTCATGTCATCTCCATTCATCGAATGGAGTTCCTCAGTTTGATGAGATTGGACAGCTGTTTTTCCAAACTTCCGTATTGGTCCGAGTTCGCACGCAGGAAAACAAAAAAAAAATCGTATTTTTGGTTTACGTTACTCTTTGAATGTTTTTGAGAAAACTATGGAAAGCTCCATTTTTGGGGGTCAAATGATTGCAGGCACGAAGATTATGAAAATACATCGCATTTATGATTATTAAGGATTTACTTTTGTAATTTGATTTTTCAACTTGAATCTTGGCACCGATTGTCCTTAAAATTATAGAAACCTCATTTGTTGTTTTTTGCTATTCAAAATATTTCCAATGTGATTACACTCACCATAACAGTCGCAATCCTACCACCATTTTATACACAGTTAACCTTATTAGTATTACAATCATCGCACTTGGCTTTCCACTTTGAAAATCACGCTTTGCTGCTGCCACCTTTTTAGGTTTGAAATTGTCTCATGAAAACACATATGTGCTCGATTGCG